TGTAAATGTAGATTTTTTGCTAAATTCTGAGTTTATATTTAACTGTATGATGAGCCATTTTGTCATGATCAGTTTATTTGTTATTGCATTATTCTTATGCTTTTATAGTTTGGTTTTAACTTAAAATTAATATTGTTATGATAAAGGTTCAAAGAAGCCAGCGTGGTGTTCTTACAAAGTGAATCTTCTAATGCTTTTCCTCCGTCTGATCCTAGATCATTCTGACAAAGATTCAAAGAAGCCAGCGTAGTATTCTTGCAAAGCGCATCCGCTAATGCCTTTCCTTCTTCTGGCCCAAGATTATTATTATAAAGATTCAAAGAAGTCAACGTGATGTTCTTGCAAAGTGCATCTGCTAATGCTTTTCCTCCGTTTGAACCAAGTTTATTCTGACTAAGATTCAAAGATGTAAGCGTAGTATTCTTGCAAAGCGCATCTGCTAATGCTTTACCTCCGTTTGATCCAAGATCATTCTTACTAAGATTCAAAGAAGTCAGTGCAGTATTCTTGCAAAGCACATCTGCTAACGCTTTTCCACTTTCTGATCCAAGTTTATTATCGTAAAGATTAAAAGAAATCAGCGTGGTGTTTTTGAAAAGTGCATCTGCTAATGTCCTTCCTCCTTCTGATCCAAGATCATTCAGACTAAGATCCAAAAAAGTTAGTGTGGCGTTCTTGCAAAGTGCATAAGCTAATGCTTTTCCTCCTTCAGATCCTAGATTATTCTTCCAAAGATTCAAATGGGTAAGCGTAATATTCTTGCAAAGTGCATCAGCTAATGCTTTTCCCCCTTCTGATCCAAGATTATTTCCTTCAAGATTCAAAGAAGTCAGCGTGGTATTCTTGCAAAGTGCATCAGCTAGAACTTTTCCTTCAACAGATCCAATATTATTACTAGTAAGATTTAAAAAAGTCAAAGTAGAATTCTTATAAAGAATTTTTACTAATACATCTATAGTTTTAGATTTAAGATCGAAACAAGTTATATTTAACATCATAGAGTTAACAGTTGAGTTTTCATAAAGATTTTCAAATATCATTTGATTGCAAATAATTTCACTAAGGTTTAAATGTTTAAGATTATTGCTAGTTCGTAGAAACATCGCAATCAAAGAACATTTAACGGCATTTTCAATATTACATCCTGTTTTATATCCTCCATCACGAAGCCAGTTTCTAATACCATCATACAAATAACCGCTAACGGAAGTGATATAACTTGTATATTCAAATAGCGGTTTTGGGTGACTTGGAATGGTGATTTTAAAAGGAGTTAATAGAATTTGTTCTTGAGTATTTAACATTAAAAGAAATATTTCGATAAGTCTTTTGTCTTTAAACCGATTTCTTGGTTCGCTCCACAATATTGGAATTACAATCCTACACCATTGGCGATTTTACAAGAGCACAAGAAAATAAGTTTTTATAACTAGACCGTAATTTATTAAATATTGGGTAGTAGCATTCATTTGGTAATGTTATCATATTGAAAAACGTCCACAGTATTTGAGAAAAGTTTTGAGAAAATGTTTGTTATATAACAAAATTTCAATTCTGAATTTAAATAAATTTTTCGTACAACTAAGGTCATATGTCAGAATTCAATTCGTCATTAAATTGAAAATTTTGTTGACTCGACTAACGCTAAGCCGAAATTTTTGTTGTTGATTATCGTTCTTTTCGGTTCGGTTTAGTTGGATCGACGATCTGCATAATTTTTGTCACGGCTGATGCTGGAAGTTTTAATTATTTTACAGCGCTTTTCAAATTACTGTGATCAGTGATTTCCATACATCACACCGGAAATCAGAAATCTAGAATAAATGCAAATCTGTGATTGGCTAAAAATATGTTTTATCCAATCATGTATTGACACTTTTTCCAGATTTCTGATTCCCGGTGTGATATATGAAAATCATTGATCACAGTAATTTGAAAAGCGCTGTAATATGAAATTTTCAAAAATTTTTTGGGCCTTTTGTTAGGGAGTTTTTTTTAGGGTTTGGTTAGGGTTTAGTGGTAGTTTTAATAATAAAAGAGTATAAGTAGATTTTGGTAGGGTTTTTATTTTTAAATCAAGGTCCCTAATTTCTAGCTTCAGCCGCGACAATTTTTTAGAGTCCCGTGAGTCCTATGATTACGATAAGGTATCGCTTCAACTTCGTTATATTTTGTGGAACTCATTTTAGAATTCTTATATTTCCCTTTTTTAATTATCGCTCTTTTCGATTTAGTTGGATCGACGATCTGCATAATGTTTTTTGAGTCCTGAGTCCGATATATAACTACTTTATGTTGGTAGTGTATTTTTTTAATTAAAAAAGGGAAATATAAGAATTACAGGCTCACGGAACTCAAAAAGATTGTTGATCCAACTAAATCGATAATAAAATACAACGAACATAAGCTATCTATCTTGTATTCACGGATCAAAAATCATTATGCAGATTGTCGATCCAATTAAATCGAAAAGAGTGATAACTTATATGTTAAACAAATATTTATCCTGAATTTGCCTGCCAAACACTTGCAAAATTGCTGATTTTCTAGATTTTCTATGTGCACAATCAAGAATCGACTAAGGGTACGTATTATCAAACTTCTCTACTGATAGAGAGATGAGGAATCTGATTGGCTAAAATTGTTAAATACCAACTCAAAAAATTTTCAGGGTAATGATTTAAATTAGGAATCTACAAGTTTGCAACATAGGATATGTTTGTAAAAAAGATAGTTTTCACTTCTAAGCTAACATTTTGCATCTTACAATATAATTAGTATTTCTTTTATTTCATATTTTTATACTATCTATGTTTTTTATTTTGAAAATGGCATTTTGTACTATCGACGAAATCAACTTGAAATTAGGTTGATTGGCATTCACGTTATTACTACGTAGACTCAACACTAAGAATCTTTTGCTATACAATTAACATTTAATTATTGTCATCTATTTTAATTTTTTGAATATAAATTGACTTGTCATAATCTATTTAAAGATCTAAACTTTCAAGACATGTTCGAACCAATCATTGCTTAGAGGTTTTTTATTTTTACATATTTTAACAGTCTCTTGATAATGTATTTAAATCTCATTTAGAAAATGTAAAGAGGCTAATTTTCATTTTATTTTTATTTTCTAACCAGATATTATCTTAAGGATTGATTATAATATTGATAACAGTTTTGAGATAAAATATAATTTTGATTTTGATTATACTAGGAAACAGGACTATTGAGATTCCGAGCCTTATTATTTAGATTTAATTTTATAGCTTTTCTTTTAAAAATTTATAAAATATATCCCGTATACAGTCATCCTCCCATACAATCACACAGTTGGGCACATAGTAACTTTTTTTTAAAAATGTGCTTATAGAGAGGTTGTGCTTATATGGGGGTTTTTTTCTTATAAATTAAATTATAGTTTGGTCTAAATAAAAATGTGATTACATATGGTGTGATTATATGGAAGGTGACTATATGGAGGAACGACTGTATTATTGAATCAAAGAAAGTTATTTCAATTTGAATTCGCAAAAATTTTTTATTAATAATCTCAGATCATATATATCATCGTAATTGATTAATTATAACCTGTCCCGGATTTTTTTATATGCATTTTTTCAGTTGTTCTATTATAAAAACAGTTGTTAATATTATAAAAAACTAATTACTAAATATTGTATAGCCTAACAAAAAATTTATTAAACAATTTTACTACTATATAAGATCTTATAACCTTAACTTTGTCATAGGTTCTAACTTTAATTTATATAAGCTTAAAGATTTTTTAATGTGCTATAAACTATAATAGTGAAAGTTTGACGATCCTGGGAAAAGATTGTCAAAGACAAGAAAAAATTCATATGATTTTGGGCAAACTTAGATCACTGAAATTTGTCAAAATGTGAAAAAAAAATAAATGTATAAATATCTTAATCCGATTTAAAATACAAGTTAGATTTTAGCCCAAAATATATTTACTTGAATATATAACTTTTAGAACTGGCAACATTTCTAAAGCAGCAATATGCTAATTGTTAGTATAAGAAGACATGAGAACAGACAGATATATCATGTATATTACTGCCACTTTTTACCAAACATAAACACCAAAAGAGGATCTGCAAGTGCAGAAACAAGGCTTGCTGATATGGTCTAGTTATCATTAGCAAGGCTTTAGCTATTTTAAAAATGTTTTAGCCATTTTGAAATTATTTGTAATAATACTATAGATTAGTAAACACACAAACAAATCAAATGCTAAACACCTTCCTATAAGATGGACTATTAACAATAAGCTATATATTATATTCAAGTGAGACAATGCACAGTTACAATAAAGAAAAACAACTAAAAACAAATTACTACATTGTATAAACTAATAACATGAGGGGAACTTATATAAGCTAAAGATTTCATACTATCTATTTCAAGTTAACATAGTTCAAATTGTAAGTTAACAATTTTATATTGTCAGTACAATCTATTAATATATAAATAACAAAATATTTACTTAGATGATAAAGAAAAATTCAAAGTTTGCAGTTTTTTTGTATTAGAAGTTCTAGTAACTGCACCAAAACAGTCTCCAACCTCAACTTCAGCATTTTTTATTTAGTCCTCTTCCTTTCGTTTTTTTTTATATACCCAAGCATGTGATAAAGTGATATTATTGACTTTGTTGTATATGGAGTTAAGAGTAGCCTGTAATTTCATAAATGAAAAATGTACAAATGTATAGTACAAAAAATTTATAAAGTGGTAATATTACAAAATTAGAAAGTACCTTGACATTTTTTATTTTTATATAAAACTTTTTCAAATATGCAAGAGCCCTTGTAAAATTGGGTAAGGCTGTTGTGCACAAAGTTCCAAATCTACAAATGTTTGTCCTCTTGCAATTCATTGCAAGAATCTGATATGTCCAGCCTTAAAATAGAATATTAATAAATATTTATGAATAGAGTTTAGTTTGTAATAACTTTCTGCTTACCCTATAATTTGATTCCAAAAACAAATATTTTGTGCAAATCTTTATCTGGGGCATTCATATTAGAATTGAAAAATATATAAAGAATGTCTTTTATTGTTATAGATAGGTCAATAGAGTCTACAAAAATTTTTTTTGGATGAGATTCTGGAAGATCTCTACTTCGGAGATCTATTATTGCTTCTAGTTTGTTAATACTATACTTTAACATCTCTCGGAAATCGTATTTTTGCCCAACTCGAGCACAAAGTATAATTGAGCAACCTTTATTACATCATTTAACCGAAGCCCAAGAGCATATCTCTCCTCTAAAGAAGTATATAGGGATAAGTTAATAGAAAAGGGACGAATTTTTTCTAAGTAAAAGTTTTCTTGACTTTAGGCTTAAATATCTTGGCAATTATCTTATCAAATTTAATAAAATT